CGCGCTCGCTTGCCTCTCCGGCCCGCCACGTCTTTGGCCCCAGGCGACTGATCCTCGCACCTTGATATGCCGGACGAGGATCTCCTCCCCTTTTCCGGGGGTCCGAGCTGGCCTTCCAACTGTGCGTCTCCCATCCTTTCCCCCTCTTTCCCATCCTCCTCCCCAGCTGCTTATCTCACCGGTCTTTTTTTACGGCACCGCTTCTCTGGCCATCCCCCTTTTCTTGCTTCCGAATGGATGAACAGTTAACTTTGGCACTGGCATCGCCCCTGACCGGACGCCGGCCCCTCCGTCGATCACCGGCGCCGAGGCCGCACCACCTCCGGCAACCGAAGTCATCCAAGTCCAAACTGCCCGTACGCACGCAGGTCCTCCGGCGCCCTCTTTTTTGTGTTTGCGCCACTGACTCCAGCATGCCCTTCCTCCCCGCCCCCCCTCCCCCCTCCCTCCCTCCCTCTCTCTCTCTCTCTGTCCCGTGGACACATGCACACATACGCACGTACATTCAAACGTGCACATATCGAAAGGCACACGCTCCCTGCGGCCCGTTATCGATGTCATCTCCCGACTGACTCGGGCACGGCCAACGCCAACACACTCGCATGCACCGCCGTTGGAGGTTACTCTCCCGCTTCATGTCTGCATCCGCGGTAGGTCAATCGTTCTTTGCTCCATCTGTCCATGCGATGTCCTCCCCCGCCCCCCCCCCCCCTCCCCACCAAAGGGCGCCCTTCGTAGGTCTGCCGCCGGCGCTAACGCCCCCACACTGTGCTTTATCGCAGATTCCATGGATGCATTCATCTCGGATCATGGATTCAGCTCCGAGGATGACCACCTGATGGATGAGGACCGGTCTGATGGCGAGGGGTGCACTGGCCTCGACTGGAAGAACTCGGCCACGGCCACGCAAATGTCCCGAGCCGTGTTGGACTTCGAGCACTCGCTGCTTCTTGACTACCTCCTTCTGGCCCCGGTTGAGGCCCTCTTGCTGCCGGGTACCTACGCTGCTTTCCATTTCTCCTTCCTTTTCCTCCTGTCCCCCTCTCCTTACTTGTTTTTTTTTGTTTCCCTGCTCCATGCGGATTCCAAACATTTGCTCATGCTTCCGCCGCCCCCCCCCCTCTCTCCCTGTCCCTCTTCCCTCCTCCCCCGTTCCCCAGCCAACGGTATCGACAATCTTGTTCTCCAAAGGCTTCTGGGTTATATTGCGGCTGCGCTTGCGCGTAAAGCCGCCGTGGTGACCCCCCCTGCGCCAAGTCTTGGTTTCGACTCCCTGCGCCATCTGGATCTATCGCGTGCGTGTTGCCCACTCTGTTGCCCCC